CCCCCCCCCAGTAAAATGTTTTACTGTCTCACATGGGTTCTATGGATAAATTTGCTATTATTCATAATGCTTGCTGATGCTGAAAAAAATGACTCTGGATAATTTTGTAACCATAAATGTTTGTAGCTAGCTGCGAGGATCAGGAAGTAGTACTCTGTCCCCATGCAATGTTGTACAGTATTATAAGTGAATTAGTTATTAGGGCTGTGCAAAATTTCGACAGCTGTTTCATTTTGAAAGTGATTCGGGCCATTTCAGCGCCCAAAATACTGAATCCGAATCGAAACGGAAGGCTCAGAAACATCTCCAAAACGAAACAAGGCATCCGAAATGTTTTGGAAAATGTCAGAGTTTCAGAGCCAGGCTTGCAGGGAAACAGTTGTATGCTGCTGCCCTGCCACTTGACCTGGCTCTGCAGGGAGCAGAGATCCACATCAGGGTCTCCTTGCTGCCACTGCCCGCCCCACACAGCAGGGACCAGCAGGCTTGATTGCCACTCTGCACTGCTTCCCTACCCTGCGACCCAGCGTGATGGGGATCAGATGTCCACATGGAGGTCTCCTCACCTGCATGTAGGGCAGTGGCCCTCTCCCTCCCCCTGGACGAGCCACGCACAGCCCTGTCCTGCTACCCCTTGGGGCCCCAAGCTCTGCCTGGTCTTGTAGGGCTGTGCGAAGCTTGGAGTGCATTTGAAACAGATTTGGAGGAGATTAGGTGGAAACGAAACAGGACAGTGATCCGAAACACTGAAATGAGTCGTCGTCCTCTGAAAGAGCTGAATCCTAAACTGAATCAAAACACAGCCATTTTGCACAGCCTTATTAGCTATTTAGAATCTCCTGGATTAGAGGTCTTTGTCTACTGGCCATTTCATTACTGACTCTAAAAACTCTGTTTGGCACAGCCCTGAATTTTGTAACCAGATGTCCATATGGTCCTATTTTTTGCAGCAGAAGAGTGTCTTGTTAAAGGTTTTAGGGGTATAGGTTGTAGCCATGTTGGTTTAAGGCAGTGGTCTCCAATCTGTTTAAGTAGGAGATCACCTTTGGTAAAGCAACCCAAGATGTACTGTGTCCTGCTGCCTCCCCCCCACAACCCAGCAGGTAAGTCTGTGGGATAGAAAGCGAGGAGTGCAGATTGAGGGAAAGAAAATTTATTTGGGAGCATGCCTCCCTAGTAGGTCAGTCCCACTCAACTTACCCCTGCTCCTGCCTCTCTGGCACTGTCCCTCATCATGGGGTCCTCGATCTACCCCTACCCCTTCCCTCCCCCATGGACTGACGAGCTTTGCTGGTCCACGCGTGTGCATGCGCACAGCCACTTGGTTCCCCACCCCAGCCTCAGATCAACTCCAAGAGGCTCCGAGATCTACCGGTAGACTGAGATCCACTGGTTGGTGACCACTGGTCTAAGGACATAGGCAGACAAGGTTCTTTGGGTAAACCTGATATTTTTTATTAGACCAACTCAAATAGTTGGAAAAAATCTTTGCAAGCTTTCGGGTACAAATACCCTTCATCAGGCTGAGAAAGCATCTGCAGTTGGTGTGTGCTCTTCCTGGATGGAATGAATAGTAAAGAAGCCAGAGGCTGGTATGCATGCAAGAAAGCCAGTCAGTGGGTAAGAGACAGGTTGCGGGGGGTGAAGGAAGGGGGAATAGCTGGTAAATAGTGGAGAGGTACCTGGGGAGTCGGATGTTAAGCAGCTTATAATGTGTCCTAAATCCAAAGTCTGTATTTAGTCCATGATTTTTTTGTATCCAGTAGGTTGACGAAGTGAAGTTCGTAGGTTGTAATGCAATGGAATAATCACGTATAGTCATAAAACCACTTAAATTAGCAGAAATGAGACCTCTCCTGTTATAATTTTGGACCGCCCAAAGCTGACTGACAAAATTGTCTGCTTTTACTTTAGTGTGTTTATGGGTTTTGCATGGGGATATGTGGTTACTTTGCTCATAGTTTTCTGTTAGCTGGATCTGCAGCACAACTTGAATTTTGACAGTCCTTTATTGGATCTAACGTCTTGGTAATATTATTTTCCAAATACATAAACCCATGAAGAACCAGTTCTTCCCATCTCTCAGATGGGTTTCTAAAGAAGTTACATCACTCACTTTAAACCTTGATGAGCTTGCTAGAAATGGACAGATTACTGATGAATCATTGTGACAAATCTATTTAACCTTTATTAGTTGGATGTTAGCTGTCCCTTTTTGAGTTAAGATGCTCTATAGGAAATGTAGTTAAAGTTTAGCAAGGAAGTGTTAAGTACTGGACACATTTTCAATGTGGTGTCTCTTTTCAGGTTCCTTTGGACAGGTGAGAGGTTCACAACCAAACTACGGAGGGGCTTATCCAGGAACACCCAATTATGGGAGTCAGCCTGGACCACCACCCCCGCCAAAACGCTTGGATCCAGATTCCATTCCTAGCCCTGTAAGCTTATATTGTTCTCATCAGTATGAACTTTTACACTTACTACATCTTATTATATATGAAATTGACAGATTGTAAGGATAGAAACAGATTGCTTAATGAAGAACAGTGCTTTCTGTTCCTGTTGATTTTTATTAATTCGTATATTCAGTTTCAGGGACTTGTTATCAGTAGGATCACTAAATTACCAGTAGCAGTGAATGCAGAAAGGGACTGGATATGGCACTATATCTCCACATGTTTCTTTTTTCCAAGTTAATAAACAGAAACTTTTTAATACTTTGATTAAGCCACTGTTCTGTCACACTGTCTCCAGACTTTGCCTTATGAGCTCTTCCAAGTGAAGAGTAGCTTGCCAAAAAGAACATTGTCATCTCAGTAAAGCAAAGCTATCTTTCAGTTAAGTTGCAGGAGCATGGTTTATAGATGGTTTATTTGAAAAGGTCTGTGGACAAACTGAGTCCAGAGGACAGCAATCAAAAGGATTATTGAGTTCTAGGGGAAATGTGATTTTTAAGAAAAGGTAGAAGAATTGGGATTATTAAGTCTGGAGAAGAGAAGACTGAAGGGAGATTTGATTACAGTCTACAAGTACATGAAGGGTGGTTATAAAGAGAATTGTGTTAGACTGTTTTCTGTGGTCTCAGGAGACACGACAAAGCACAGTTGTCTTAAATTGCAGCAAGGGCTCTTTAGATTAAGAAAGTTCTTCCTAATATCCAATATTGGGGTAAGTAACACTGGAACAGATTACTTAGAGAAGTCTCTGTCCCTGGAAACTTTTAAGAACAGGTTAGACTGGGATGGTTCAGATAAGGAAGATTCTGTCTTGGTCGGGGAGTTTGTCTAGATGATCCTGAGGTCTCTTCACAGCCACATTTTTCTGTGATTCTGTATTTGCTTACTTAGACATGCCCATGTTTTATCTTATAAAACTGGTCTCATCTTTTATAGAATTGTCCCCTATATTCTAAATATGGACTAAACTATAAACCTGATACATTACTGTTAAACTAAAATATTTTTAATATCACCCACTATAAAGGTAGTTCTTCCTCAGTGTGGAACAGGTGACCACCTGACTTGGGTCCCAGATCTGCATTAATTCCTTCATTAATTTCATCTGGCATTAAGATGATTACTTAGTTTCTTAAGGAGATATAAACAATGATGATGCCCTCTGACGATGCATGAAAAGCTTGATTAAAGTATGATAGTCCATTCTTTATAAGTGTACAGTATGCAGTACTGCATGCAGTATGCACAGGAACTGACTGAATATACATCATAACAGTTCATTCATTGCTGGTGTTTTCATAGTCAAGGTGTGGGTCATAGGATGTGTGTTTGAGCATGCACTTGTTGTCTCCTCAGTCTCACTGTACTTCCAAGCAGTCAATTAAGTTTGTCAAGGATGTTCTACATGCAGTGATGACATTTTTAGTTTGAAGGTGGACCACTTCTCAAATCAGAATTCTGGCCCTGCTTGTGGCTCTTGCTCCCTTCCCACAGCCTTCCTGGTGTCCCGCACTCCCCACCCACAGCCCCTGCTCCTCCAGCCCTGAAGGAGAAGGCCCCCAGCTGCCAGGGCTGTGAACCCTGGTCTGCAGCACCCACTCCCCACTGCTGCAGGGGTAGGGGGGTGCTGGCTCCCTGCCACTGTCTTAAGGGGGCAGAGGGACCCACACCCCCCAAGATGTGTGAATAGGGCAGGCATGGGCTGCAGGCTCAGGCTCCTTCCCTGTTGCCCTCCCCTGGGGCCTCCACAGCCCAGTGGGAGCAACCTGGCACGGCAGGGAACAGCGGGGCTGCACAGAGAAACTGCTCACTGCTGCAAGCTCCTCACTGCCCTGGCGACATGCCCCCTGCACATGCTGCTGCTTTGAGGGGCACAATCCCATGCTGCTGCTCTCACTGCAGCCCCGTGTGCAGGAGGTGCGTCACCAAGGCAGTGGAGCTCGCAGCAGCAAGCAGCTTCTTCACATGGCTCCACTGCTCTGCCACGCTGGGTTGCACCCACTGGCCTGTGGAGGCCCTGGGGGAGGGAAGCAGGGTGTCAGGGAAGTGTGGAGCCACATGGAGAAGCAGCTCACCTCTGTGAACTCCGCACTGCTGTGGCAATGCACCTCTTGCGCATGGGGCTTCAATGAGAGCAGCCTTGCAGGGTTGTGCCCCTCAAAGCAATGGCACGCATAGGGGGTGCATTGCCAGGGCAGCAGGGAGCTCACAGCGGCGAGCAGCTTCTCCGTGTGGCTCCGCTCTTTTCTGTCATGCCCGCCAAGCTGTGGATGCTCCAGGGGAGGGAAGCAGGGCAGGATCCCGTGACCACAGCCTGCACCTGCTCTAACATACAGATGGCGGTGTGGGTCTCAGTCGGCCCTCCCATTGGACGAGCCACCCATGGCCCTGTCCTCCTCCCTGCTTGGGCCCTGCGGCCATGCATTGTGGCCCTGGGCCGCAAGCACTGCCAAGCTCTCTCCCTCCCTACAGGGGCTTCAATCGTCTTCTTCCCCCTCATTTAGCTGCTGGAGCTACTCTCGGGCTGCCTGGGTCCATGTGCATGTCCATGCACGTGGTGCCCCCTGTCTCACCACCCTCCTTCTGTTCCCTCCCAGCTCCTTGCAGACTGGAACTCTGCCAGCCTGCAGGGAGCTCATTACAAAAAGCCATATCCACGGGTTTCTCTGATAAATGAGAAATCCATGTTTGCCTCTGGTAAAAGGTAAAATCCACGGTTTACTCCGTTTTTCCATGGGAAATGGAAAACCCGGGTCCCTGCTCATTAATATCACTAGACTGTTAGGTTCAATTCCCAGTGCTGCTGAGCTGGTGTTTTAAAAGATCACAATAGCAAGTGATGCTAAGAAACATTTCCAAGGAAATGCTTACAGTTGGTTCACTTGACTTCTATATCTAGCTTTAGTCTAGACTTGCGCTCTCATGCTGGTGATGATCAAAAAGTCATAGTTTTATCTGCTTAGATTTTAGCCTTACACATGTATTAGGACTTAGTTTTCATAAGGAAGGAGTGTAGGAGAGCTTTAATAGCTTGGCTCGCTTTATCTCCTTGTCCATTAAATTTGGACTTTAAGCAACTTTTATCAGTTTCGTTCATTGCAGCATGTTCTTGTAGTGTAAGTCCTTAAAGTCTAACAGGGCAAGTACATAGTCTATCTCTGCCAACAAAATATTCAGAGCCCAAGAACAATACAGCAGCAAGACGCATTCTAGGATTAATTTGTTGTATTGAAGGAAACATTCTTTTCCTCTTGTTGCATGAACTGTTGTCCAAATGTATATATCTAACTCCAGTGCCAGAATTTGGGCAGAGAGAAGTAACACTTACTTCTTGTTTTATTATTCTCTTTTTCTTTTTGTGGCACTCTGTTACTTTTTTTTATTCTTTAAAAAAAGCAACTCAGTGAGCTGCCACCTCAGCAGAAATCCAGGCACAGAATAGATCCAGATGCAATTCCTAGCCCAGTAAGTGCAGTGTCTGTCTAATGTCATCTTTGTGTTGGTGGCCACCTGTGCATGCCTGCAACCTAAATTTCATCTCACTAACCCTTTGCTGTTAATCCTTCCTCCCTCCGCCCCCATCTTTTTCTGCTTGCCTTATCAAAATGAATAGAATTAAATACCGCAAGGGGACTGCTCATTAAATTGCATCCTGTGTCATGAATGAAGGGGCAATAGAAAGCAGATAGCTTTTTAGAAGCAGATCGTGAAGAATGTCTCCCCTCCATCTTGTCTGATCCTTAAAAGTAAATTAGCTACCTTATTGGGCAAAATGGAATGATTTATAGTACAAATTTCAGGACGAACAAGTTGCACCCATGTATATTACATGGCTCATTACTTTGTTTACTTTTCATTCTTGTTGCGGTACCAAGGTTGAGCTAATAGTTGAATACTTGTAAGTGAGAGGAAGTAGCTCTTGTTTTGACACCAATCCCTCATCTAAATTTCTTGGCACACTTCTCTGATAAATCATGGGGAGCCTTTAGCATTCTTTCATTATCTGCTGTCATACACCATTATAAATTACAATTTTTTAAGATTCAGTATGTTACATACAAAATCTCTTTTTGAATATATAGAGGAACCTACTTTTTGGTTTGGAGGAAGCTGGTGTTTTTTACTTTTCTATTACCCCTCTATCATTTCTCCCTCATTAGTGATTGGCTAAAGTTAGTCACGTGACATCACTATTGGTGTGACCAACTTTAGTTAATCTGTAGAGTTTTTAGAAGATAGGAGACTTCTTGTGGAATGGACATAATCTAATGGTATGGGTGAGCTTTCTACTGAGACAACATGAAATATACTATAGGGATAATAGTACTTTGCCAAACAGAGGTCTGCATATTGGAATTTATTGCAAAGACAGATTGGCAAAGAATGAATTTTTCACAAGGACTGAAGTAACTTGTTCCTAGGTTATTGCTTAAATCGGGCTAAGTGCTGGTATTGGAAAAAGTAGCTGTAAGGATTCATAATCATAATTTGCCATTCTTATACAGAATTCAATGATTATTCTTAATCCAGAAGTGCTGTCCATCTTGGGAGTACAGTTTTGTCATCTCTAATTGAAGGAACTTTTAAAAATACTTTCTGTAGTTTAACCTTTTAAATGAACCAGTCTGTTGCAAACAGTTGGGACTTGATGTATACACTGAAGGGATCAAATTCTTCCGAGTTTTTGTATGCAGGTATTTAGGTCAGAGTTCAGTCAGATGCACAGTATCTGTAAGAACCGCAGTAAGAACCAGCCTTGCATTGTGGCAATTCTTGGAACTTTAGATACAAAACTTAGATACAAAAAGCAGGGAAAAAGGAAGCTTAAAACTAAAGGATACGTGGAATCCAGAATATTTTGATTTGGAGGTTCCAGAAAGACTTAGGTTGGTTTGTAATTCACAGTCTGTTGGGGAACAATAAACAGAAATAGTACTTGAATTTAAGTTTTGAGAGTCTCCAAATTCGTTCTTTAAATGTAAAATATGCCAGTTTTCATAATTGTAATTTAAAACGCCCTAAAATTTAAATACGACTTCTGCTTCTTTTGTTAAAATCCCTCTAGTCTTTCACCAACCTTTGCATACAATAAGAGCTGACTTCCTGACAAAGCTTAAACTAGGTCTAGGCTTCTGAGTCCTTGAAACTAGTCATGTTTGTCCCAGTCCCTGTCTGACTTCATTATAGTTCCAAATCCCATGTGTCATAGTCACCACAAAACAGTCTATAGTTGCTAACATGTTGCTTTGCATTCTAGATCCAGGTGATTGAAGATGACAGAAATAACCGTGGATCAGAGCCATTTGTCACTGGAGTGAGGGGGCAAGTTCCACCCCTTGTCACTACCAATTTCCTGGTGAAAGATCAAGGTAATACACTGCTCACTACTTACTGCAGCTCCTTCAAAAAAAAAAAAAAAGTATATTGCCAGAGATCTCAGCGTACAATTTCTTGGGACATTCCCTTTGATGTACAGGGTTTTAGTGCTCTGGCTTTTTTTTAAGCAGTAGAGGCTTAAATTCTAAAAATGTTTTTGGTTGTGATCTAAAATAAAAGATAAGTTCAGTCTCAGAAAGTAGTGGATGGTTTGACCAATCCGTCCATAGGTAAAAACAATTAACATTTTTTAGAGGAATGAAGTGGAGCCAATGGATGTTGGAAAGCCAAGAATGAAGATTTGTGAATAGAAGTATGTTGCATATTTATATGGGAGCAAAAGGGGGCATTTTAGGATGAAGGTGTGTTGGCAGTATGAATGTGAAGGGTCTAGGACTAGAAGTGCATTATGGTGTTTCAAATCATGAATACAATGCAATATATGATCTGGGAGTTGGGTAGAGAAAGACTTTACCTTATCTACCTTCTTTAGTGACTACTGGTAGTGCTGTCAGTTTCTCATTTTCAGGGTTGCTGAAATCTTATGCAAATAAGTGCCTTATTTTCTAAATCAGAATTGCACTGCTCAACAAGGAAGCTGTTGGAAATGAAAAATAGAATCTTCCCAAATTAGAGTGTCCGAGTACCTGTTTACAATACCTTAAATTAGCATAATCCACTTGAGATCCACCTGACACATAGGTTGGCCCCTGTCTAAATAGTGTGTTATTTTTATGGGGCTTTTTTGGAGGGGAGAAAAGGTAGATTTAGAGTCGTTATCTGAACAATACAATAATCTAGATTAAGAATCTCTATACAAGGAGTTAATTGGGACCACCCATTTCACAGGTTACGCTGCATCTGAATACAAGTCCCTATGTAGATGAGTGCTTAGAGTCTGCATTATGGGTTAATATGTTGCCCATGTTGTTGTAAGTTTAGTACTCTTCAGAGAAAATTTAGTGTGTTTTGTTTTTGCTTTCCTTTACAGGTAACACAAGCCCCCGCTACATAAGATGCACATCTTACAATATTCCCTGCACATCAGATATGGCCAAACAGTCCCAGGTTCCCCTAGCTGCTGTCATAAAACCACTGGCTATGCTACCGACAGAGGAGGTAAGAGCAATATCCTGCATCGACTGTCTAGGACTTTGAAGCCTCTTAACTATTTAGACCTTGGTGGAATAAGAATTTTGGAGAGCAAAGACTAAGCAAACTTTGGTCCTCAGATAAACCTGAGTTGTGGTCATCTCTTTGCCATGACTCTGTGCCCCCGCTCTCTTACATCTGTAAAACCTGGTTAATCATTACCTGCCTAATCAAACTGAGGGGCTGAAAGACTCTAAAGCATTTTAAAGTGGGGAAGTTCTGAAAGAGTGCTAGGAACGTAGGCTCTAGTTACAGGCATATGTTTGTTATGTTGCTGCTCCTAACCATGACTTCAGTGTATCTATCCAAACCACTCTTGATGGCTAGATTTATAAAGTGCGAGTTGGACAGTCTATCCACCCATTACATGCCTTGCCCCTTTCAGACTCCATTGAGTTGGGGGGATAGTGTGTGGGCTTTAAAATCTATTCTGTTGCTTTTTTGTGATTTTAACAGTATTTTGGATTTTGCAAATCTGCTCAAAAGGTTTCAATAAACTGAACTGGCCTGAAGTAAATTCCCATAGTGTGCTTGGGACCTTCTTATAAGGGATGTATGACTGGAGAATTAAAGCAGCTACATTTCAGAGGTTTGTGTAGTTTAAAAGCACTCTGGAAAAGAGAAGTGTGCCTAGATATTTAATCTCCAAGTTCTGATTTATATGCTTTGAATGAATGCATCTTTTTATGCTGCCCAGCAAAATTTTGCCAAACTTCACTGAGCCCCCAGCCCTGGAAACATCTTTATTACAGACAAGGGCCAGTTCCCTTGTGGAGGGGCCCTACTAACAGATGAGAACTTAGCTAAATATCCTGCACCTGTTGAGAGAAATAAGACACTGTAAATGGAGCCACAGTTGGAGAGATGGGGAGGGGAAAGAGAACTGTGATTGGTGAAAACAAGGTATTGAAAACAATCTAGAATCCTTAAAATCCAGCACCTGCTCACCAGATGGGACCTTTGCTCCAAAAGCTAAGCAAGGTTCAGAGAAAAAGCGTATGAGGCTTCAGGAAATAACTAGACTTTCCAATATCTAAGATGTTAATTGGCATTCACATTTTCCATGCATGTTATGGCTCTTCACCCTGTAAAGGATTTTTGTTCTTGAGGTAGTAAAGTTGGCTGCCTGTTGTCCCTGGCTTCTGGACAAGCTAATGTGACTAGGCAAGTACAAGAGTCAGGTTTTCTGTCTGACAGATGAAGGCAACGTGGCAGGGATAGAGGAAGTACCATCAGGCAAAAGCGGCCTTGAGTAGTCTGTCAGAGAGGATGATGGCTAGAGGGGTGAATGAGTATAGCATAGATATTTGAGTTGCTTTATAAGTAGGGAGAGGTGTGAGAGTTGTGTAAAGCAAGAGAACTGAGCTGTCAGTTATAGCCGGGAGGGGAAAGAGCTGGGAGTGGTCAGAACAACTGTTCTGCTGTCAATCAAAAAATGTACCATCTGATAAGGCTGTGTGCAGAGGCTCATAGTTATGGGGAGGGGAGAAATGGGATCCGAGGCTCTACAATTCCGCTTAGGGAGTTTTCAAGGTTGGAAAGTCAAGCTGTCATTGAGGCCAGTGCACCTACTTGAGAAATGCTTTGAATGTAGCCTGTGACTTTGAATGCAGCTTGTGTGAGAGCTCCTCTTAATCAAATCAGACTGCCTCTTGCTGCTTCTACTAAGTATGCAGAGCTCTACAAGTTGCTCCAAAGTCTACTCTGACTTGCCTGGAAAATAACTTACTTACTGGTAAGATAAGATTATTACCTCTACGTGTGAGTCCTGAAGATAATGATACATTATGCTAATACAATAATTATCAGGGACTGATGTAGCTTGAATTGGAGGCAATTGTAGTGATCAAGACCTCAGTGGTTTCCTTGAAGATTGTGCTTACATCTTCACACCAAGCTCACACCACATGACAATGCCCATACCTATTTAATATGGCTTTTAACCACTAAGTCCTCTTGCTTTGAAGGATAGGCTCCTCTGGATATATAATGTCTTCATTGGCTCCTGTAGTTTTAGGTCTTCTATAACAAGCTTATCAAAGGAAGCATATTCCCTGTCTGTATCAAAGCACACTTTAGAATTTGAGAGAGATAGAAGTGGAAGGTTCAAAAGTGGAGTGTGTCTAGCTCCATTGAGCAGTTTTCTGCTAGTTTGAAGGGGGACCAAGACAAATGACCTGTTGACACAGCAACAGGGAGCCAGCAGCAGCAAGTGTCAGTAAGAAGGATTACACTTCTAGTTTGTATGGATCTGATCTTGGTTTAAAACCAGATGGATGCCCGTGATGAAATTTTTGTTTGAAGGCATGAGTCCTAGTTTGGAATCTCTGACTGCAGTAGTGTTTTAATTGTATATTAAATTAAAGGGAAAATGATACAGGGGAGAGTTAGGCTGTAAACACAAGGGCATAGAAATGACTAGAAGTGGCACAGTAGTCCAAAAATGACCAAGCAGAGTTTAAACCCCCCCCAAACAAAACAGTAAAAATAATTAGTTTAATTTCATTTGGTGAAATTAAAATTAATTTAGACTGAGAGAGAGGTATCTGCATTTTCTCCACAAGCAGCGAAGACAAAGATATGGGGGATTTAATGTATGATATGAAATGTTTTTGTCTGTACAAAGGGTTTGGGGATTAAGTTTTGTTTTATAAATTTGTGACTGTTTTTCACCCTGAGAAGAGGGGTTAATTTTAGCAACTATAAGCTTCATTATACCCAACAGTGGGTTTTCTACAGAGTATTATTTTATTTCAGAGAATGGAAGTACAGCATGTAAATAGGTCTCTCATCCTTGATCTTTTTGTTACTGGGCTGATCTATCAAGGGGCTTGTAATAGTACGGTCATGAGTGCTGAGGAAAAGTGCATAAGGCAGCCCTTGGATATTAGCTCCTGAGATCATGGGAAAGGAAAAAAGTCAGCTGTGAATAGCACTAACCAAAGTCTAAACCCTTTCAAATCACAGCTTTGTAATAATCTGTTGCAGAATTCTTTCTGCTGTCCAGCAGTAGTTTCCAAGGAAATACTTCCTGTATGTATGCTTTCTCCACTCCCTTTGCTATTCATTGTGCTTCTCTGACTGTTAATAACTACAGCTCACCAACAGCTTCTGTGCATGGAGCTTGAGGCAGTAAAGCATTTACAAAATATATTCAAACTCTCTTCTTTCTCAACAGCTGCTAAAATGCTAAGCCCTGCCATGAGGTAATAACATGCTTTGGGAGTTGTCTAGGCACTCTATCCCATCATATATGACCTGTCTTCTTCCTTCACAGACCCCTCCTTATTTGGTAGATCATGGAGAATCTGGTCCCATTCGATGCAATAGGTGCAAGGCCTACATGTGCCCGTTTATGCAGTTCATTGAGGGTGGAAGGAGATTCCAGTGTTGTTTCTGCAGCTGTGTCACTGAGGGTAAGACTTCGTTCTGGGAGATGGTGTTTTTGTGCCAGTAGGGAGACACTTGAAAGATATGCAAGCAGTTATTGTACTAAAGGGATATTCATGGCATAAGCACTGAGCAGAATGTCTTTTCACTGAATTTTGTACTCTTGTATTTTTAAAATGTACTGTTTAAGTACATTCAGGGTGTGGTTAAGTGTTCAACTCTGAAATGCTGAAGATTGCCGCTTCTTTAACTTTCTCCTCTTGTATAATGTATTACAATACTGTCAAGCTATTTTAATAAAGTGTTTTGTTTTTTTTTATCAGTAGATCCATATAGTATATTATTGTTTGAGGGATCTTATGGTAATTTTTGTTTTGGACCATGTCAATGAAAATAGTGTAAGTAAGCATTTGAGTTAAAATGTATATGATAAATATTCTGCTCTTAACATTTTAGTCAACATATATCCCTACAGTTGTTTTCATTCAGTAACTCACCCCCTTTATTGTCATTCAAGGGTGAGACTGTTGCCTATGAAAGTAACTTAGTTGCAAATGGAAGTGTTATGCTTATTAATCCTTTGGTTTATTTGACATTGATACATATTGATAAGCACACTCCAGTAGAGTATAAGTCCCATTTATGTTCTATTTCTCATAGAAATACCTTCCCCAGCATGCTTGGCATACACAAAGCAATGCAAGATACTTGTGTATCGAAAATTGTAAAACAGATCTCTACCTCATGTGAGAAAGTGGTTAGTAATTACCATGAAGACTACTTGTGTAATTTTAATCTCGATATTTTTTGTTTCTCTTCTGTAGTTGAACTATTCAAACTTGAAATCCTCCTTGTAGTTTCAATTAAATTGACCTTTTTTTAAAGGGATTTTCATTTTTTCTACTTTTGTTAGTATTTTGGTTTTTGTTTTTGTTTTGTTTGGGGGGGGTTAGTATCACTTCCTGTAATCTGTTCTGTCCTAGTCATGTTAGTAGCTCTGCAGAAGAAAAACCTCACTTATCCTATTGTGGAGAAGTTTCCCCAGTAATGGAGCTAGGGTCTGTTGGAGGATACTCTTGTCTTCTCCCCTCACATAGTAGGTGTTCTGCGGAATCTGCTTTCAGGCCTTTACAACAATGTGTTTGAGTTACCAATGATATGCTTGTAATATTTGCTGTGTTTTTTGTTTCCAGTGCCTCCTCACTACTTCCAGCACTTGGATCATACTGGCAAGCGAGTTGATTTCTATGATCGACCAGAGTTATCATTGGGGTCCTATGAGTTTTTGGCAACCGTTGACTACTGTAAGGTAAAACAGTGTACATTTAGGACAGAGCTATCATGGTAACCTCTAGGAGGAGATGACATTTATTTTAGTTGAAGTCCATTGTTGACATTGCCTTACGTAGGGGAAGCAGGTTAGAATTTACATTGCATTTTACAAGTTAGATATTGCTCACTTTCTATGGTAAAAAGGAAGTCTGGTTCTACATCCTTCAATGTCAATTTAGTTAGATTGTAGGTAGATAATTATTACGAATAATTCAAACCAGAATCGAGGAAAGTGCACGATCTCTACAGTGGCAACTACAAACTGCTTGAGATCTGGTGGGTGTTACGAGTGTATGTTTTCAACCTGCCAGCAAGAATTGGGCAAAATCAGTTTAGCTAATGGTGCTTGAGCCAGTCCTCCAAACAGTTTTCTGCAATAACTGCATTATATGCTGAATTTCAAACACGCAAGGCCACTAAGTCCCAATCCCATATTTGAAGCATGGGACCGGGCAATCCTAACATTTCAACTACTTCTGAGAAGTGGAAAACATATGCTCCATATTAAGGAAACTCTTGTTTTCGTAAAAATAAAGAGAGAAAGGTTTCTAAATGTTGCAACTTTACTAACTTGGGGATAGCAACATGTTGCTTTTACCTCTGAACAGTTTGCACCTATGCTGTTTGTCCCAGAACACAAAAATCCCAGTGTTGGTGTGCACACACATCACCCTTCTAATCAGGATGAATGAGTGGCTGAATGCCTTGCTGCTTTTCTGCCATTGATTCAGTGATGCAGTTATGGGATAATGGTTTAGATGCACTTTGCAATGTCTGTTAGTACTTCTTATCCCACAAACCTTTCTAGGGCTTATCCCAGAACAATACGCATGGATGTCTGAATGATGATTGCACTTCGTTGTGGGATATAATGGTTTATCCTGGAACAAATGTGACATCCATGTATAGCCTTTCTGTCACCCTGTTGTTAAAGGAATCTGTCCTTTCCTCTTCTCTTCTTACCTGTCACTTGAGACTCATTTTGTATCAATAGCAAGGTATGCTCATCCTGGGTACTCAAGTCTATCCAGAGCAGACCTAATACTTGTTGAGGGGTGAAAGAGCTACCAGTTCTGGAAAGGAAACTTTCACTACCAGTACACGATGTCTCTTCATAAACAAGTCCATTTGGATTTCAGTCTTCTAGAACATAAAAACTCTGGGGTGTCTGCTTTGTAAGAAATGAAAATGTAAAGGAAAATACCTTTGTAATTAGGCTGCTCTGATTGTTCACTCAGTGATGGCACAATCTGTCCAGAGCACAAACATCTTACATGCATCTGTGGGGCAGGGTCAAACGCTGTTTTTTGGGGGTTTTTTTAAGCATGCTCAGGATAATTTGGTAGGTGGGGAAAAGCTAGCTGAACATCGGTGTATTAATGATTGACCATGAAGAGACATCAAAACTCCATTGGTCTGTATTTAAACAGGCATTCATACTCCATGCCTGAATCTTTTTATGATCTTCTTAAAAATATTGTATATTTTCTTGTCTCCTTTTCCCACAGAATAACAAGTTTCCCAACCCACCAGCTTTCATTTTCATGATCGATGTGTCCTACAATGCTGTGAAAAGTGGCTTGGTAAGGCTGATCTGTGAAGAGTTGAAGTCACTCCTAGATTATCTGCCCAGGTAATCAGCTGCTGTGCTGTGTACTGCTGCAGCCAGTAAAAAAAATTGGAAAGCTTCTATATCTTCCCCTATTCACAGAAGAGTTTCTCCCTTTTAAATGCTAATATAAAGTGCAGTTTGGCAGTATTTGAAGTTGGCAAGTGACAGTGCAAGCCCCCCTGTGCTACTCTAGCTACATGATTTAGTCATAGTCTTCATGGATTGTGTGGATGATGTTAGCATTTCTTACCAGCTAAGAAACTACATGTAGCCTACAACTACACTGTGGGCTAAAAACTACACTGAATTACCTGTTTTCTTCACAAGGGGCAAGGAGTTTTGTAGGTAATTATCTTTTACACTAACCATGTTGTCAGTCCAGTAAAGTTAGATAAGTTTTTGAATGCAAGGCATTTCATTTTCCCTTGTCTGGGTCTTATCTGTTGAATGCTCTGATGCAGGTATTGTCTTATTTTCAGAGGAGGTAACCTAGAGGAGTCAGCTATTCGGGTGGGTTTCGTCACCTACAACAAAGTGTTGCACTTCTATAATGTGAAGAGCTCGTTGGCGCAGCCGCAAATGATGGTTGTATCTGATGTAGCCGATATGTTTGTGCCGCTACTTGATGGTTTTCTGGTGAACGTGAATGAGTCCAGGACAGTGATTGCCAGGTAATGGAAGCTGCAGCAGAACTCATGTAGGGAGCAACTTGTTGGGGAATTCCTTGTATTACTTTTAAATGATTCAGCTTTGATAACGGTATTTGTATGCTAGATACGTGATAGCTCCATTGTGAGTGTATTTAAATTTACACCTAGAAGCTGACAAATGTAGACAGAAAGGTACACTTTGGGATGTCCTTAATTTGCCAGGTTGTTGCAATTTGGATACCTTTGGGCAGAGGCTCGTATTTCTAGTTTGTTCAAAAATGCTACAGGCTTGTTACTAGCCTTAGGCAGAAAACTGATGTACATCCTGGAAATAGAGCTACACCTTGCTTTGTCCTCAGTTGGCTGTCTGAATTTGCTTCACTGGTATTAGAAATTAATTGGAAGATGGTGCAAAATAGGACTTAAGGAAAGAGGCTTTTCTAGAGGAAAATCTGTGGTAAACATTGCTGAGACCAGGAGCTTATAAGAGTTCAGTCACCTTAGCTAATGTGACAGTGTAAATATAGCTACAAATTGAGGTAACCCTAATTAGATTGCTTCTTTAGGAGAGTCAAGTGAAAGAGAAGGAAGGAGAGTCAAATGTGATAAGTTCAGGCAGCAGCCAGGTTTTTACCTCTTACCAAATCTTCCTTTGGGAGTTGAGCTTCTAAATTTACCCTAGAAAGGGGGTGGTGAATTACTGACAGGGTTTGGTAGGAAGCTAAACTTTGGGACTAGATTAGATTAGATTATCAAGCCTAGATTGTGGCTTTTAAAAGGATAAAGTAAAAATCTGACACATTTAAGAGAAGGGATCATCAGGAGCATTAGTTGGAGCTGTAGAGTCAGTGCTGAAGAAGCCAGTGCCAACAGAGATGAAGAGAGGATGAAGAATCAGCTTTTCTGTAGTTAACAAACGAGACCCTATAATTGGCATGTTGGTTAATAGAAAAGTTAGGCAGGTTAATGATTACTGTTTCTTAGCCACTTTGGTCCCCTGGGTCATTGGCTACCATTGGTGGTGGATTTACCAGGCAAGGGCTAAATTTTCTTTGACCTTTTCCTTTCTCTCTCTCTCTGTCTCTTAACAGTTTGCTGGATCAGATCCCAGAAATGTTTGCAGACACAAGAGAAACAGAAACGGTCTTTGCTCCAGTAATTCAGGCAGGGCTGGACGCACTGAAGGTAGATATATTGTTGTGGGGATCTGGCTGCGTTGTCAGACACTACACAAAAATTGGAATATTTCATCCCATCTCGCTTGAGAATCTCAAAGCTTTTCCTAAACCAGCCTTACTGAACATAGGAAATGGCTACCCCATTGCTAAAATACAAGCACTTCTGTGAATCATTATATCAACTGTTGAGCTCGCTACCCAACTAAAGAATTGAAGCTACCAAGAAATTTGGAATTTAGAGCAATTGCCAGAGACAACTTTCATCAAGTCTTTGGAATTAATTTGCAGTTCTTATAAACTAAATTCCATGAGATTGTCAGTAATGAGTGGCTCAGGATGTTGGCTTTCTGTTTGAGCTGACAGATTGCTTTGGCAGCAACCATGGTTTAACTCTGTGCTGGAGTTCTGGTTGGGCCCAGATTCAGAGAGAATGCCATCTACTGAATTGCCAGCATTGCTCAGCAAAGCATGTAGACTTTTTTCTGATAGTCTGCCACTCCCATACTTGACCTAGCTCAATTATGTCCATATTGAGTCACCAGCTTGTCAGGTTTGTTTCCTGGAAAACACTCGAGCTTGTTTCATGAGAATTATCTATGTTTGCATACACTGTGGCAAAAAGCAAAGCTAATCCAATCAGCATTCCACTCATGTAAATTCCATAGACAGATGTTAATTTAATCATGCAGTGGGATCCTAGGACTCTTATCCTTGATCCCCAAAATTGTGCATCCTGCCACATCAGGTATGCATGGCAAGATGCATGATTTTTGGCACCTGGGATAAAACTTGTCAGATCCCATTGTACATCTGCTGATATGCAGGGAGCCTTGGATCAGCAACCAAGTCCTTGATTTCCAGACACCCTGCGTGCCTGGACCTTTAAATGGTGCTGCAGGAATCACGGCATTGAGAAACAGTCCCTGATACTTGTGCTTACTGCAGTGCCTTTTCAACTTGCCAATGCATGGGGAGCTCAAAATTGCAATCCTGGGCTTCCAGCATGCCCAAGCCTTCTTAAGGGTGGTTCTCCAGTGCCAGGCTGCACTGGCACATGTGGAGCCTGGGATCTCTATGCTTGGCTTCCCGCAAGCATAGAGGTTGAAAAGTTTGTGCAGCCTAGCACTGGGGAGACAGCTTCCTAATGCTGGGCTGCACATTTTGAATTTCAGTGGACAAGAGATGACTGTGTCCTAGACCTGGGAGATGCTTCCTGCCCTATCCTACTTATCAGAAGGAGTGGCTGGTCCTGGTCCTGGGTCCAGGATACAGTTATTCACCACCCAGTTTAGTTAATTAGTGGAATTGGGCAGGGCATAGCCCCTGGGTCCCAGCCAGCAACCAGGGCAGGACTGCTTGAAAGTCTTCCTGACAGTTCAGTGCTGGGCAGGCTGTCTGGGAGCCAGCTGCTCTCCCTCCGTGTCCCAATCAAGGTAGGGAGGAAGAGCAGAGCACCATGAGATAGTAGAGGGGAGCATACATCATGCACCTTTTAAATTAAAGCAGAATGCAAGCCAGCCACAAAGATGTTCCACATTTTAACAAGCAACATCTTTGTGGATGTAGTGTTCCAGCATTAGGAAGCTTATCCCATGATAAATTGCTTGCACATGTGGCATCTTACAGTTTGTGAGTAACATATCAATTAAGTGATAAATGTATTGTGTCAGGGGCCATTGTGTGTGCTGACCATTTAAAAGAATATCAGGAGCCTGACACTTATTTAAAAAAAAAAAAAAAAAAAAGTTAAGGAAGCTCATTTCACAAAATTCACTTCTATCTCAGTAACTATACCTTGATTTCCCCCACAAAACACAAGAAATACTAAAAAAAAAAAAAAAAAAAAAAAAAAAGAAAGAGTAACTCCTAGCTGAAGTAAACATAGCTTATGAACCTACTGATTCAAAATGGTCCCCAGCTAGTATCAGGGAACTGGACAGTAATAGAGTAAGCATTTAATGTGGTTCATTCCAATGTCCCTCACCAGTTCAATGCATGTTTCTAACTTAAATAATTTTCTTCCTCCTCTGTAGGCAGCAGAATGTGCTGGCAAGCTCTTCATTTTTCACACCTCTCTGCCTATTGCAGAGGCCCCAGGGAAGCTGAAGAACAGAGATGACAAGAAGTTAATCAACACTGATAAAGAGAAGGTAGTAATGACTCATGTCAGGGATGGGCAAAATATGGCCAGCAAGTCGCATCTGGCCTACTAGGCCATTCTGTCCGGCTCGCAGGGCCCCTAAAATTGTCTTTTTTTAATTAATATTAATTTGCGTCTGGCTCCTGTCAAAAATGACAGGAGCCAGGGACAGTAGGACCCAGGGGAAGCCACAGCAGGCCCCTGGAAGAGTAGGACCCACCCCTTCACAGCTGGAAGCCCCTGGCTAGCAGGGGCTTCTAGCCTAGGATCATGGGGCTGTTCCCGCCTGTGCTGGACTGGGAAACACAGGTAAGAGCAGGGCTGGGGCTGTGCACACTGGTCCCTGCCTAACCACGGGGCTGGGAGCGAAGGGGTGCATGGGAGCCAGCGCTGGTGTCCTGGAGCCAGTGCCAGCGGGGCCCAGGGTGGGGTGGTTCCCCTTTCTCCCTGCTGGGGCAGCCCAGTCTAGCTCTGTAGAGCCCAGGCTCTTGCCACTCTGCTCTGGGCCCTGCCGGCACTAGCCTCGGGGCATCGCCTGGCTGTCACTGGCTCCCAACCCCACTTTCCGGGCCGGCGGAGGGCCGTGGTGGTGGCGCCTGGGGCTGGTGGGGGTGGCACAGGCCAGTGGGGATGTGGCCCAGGGTGTGGGGAGGCAGCACGGATCTTGAATTGCATGCCTAAG